GTTTTGCTAGCTCACTACTGTGGAGTGGAGTGGGTGAGATGGGTTTGCCACTATGGAGAGCAGTTTATTCAGTGACCACCTGTTGCCAACGATGGTTCCTGCCTTCTGAATCAGTTTGTATAGCCTGCTGCCATCTCTGGGACTGATGCTGCCTTCCAAGCACACAACAGCAAAGTAGATGGCACTTCCAACATTCTTGCTGCACACAATTTGAATCCGGAAAGTAGAGTGAGGTCATCCTCTTCTTCTGCAAATTCAGAATTGAACTTACTGTAGCTTAGTGTGGTAGCTACCAGTGGTCATGTAGGCCTAATTTTTATTTATTTATTTAGTTTATTTTTCCACACCACAGTTTGTAGGGCTTCACTGGATTTATGTTATAATAATAATAATAATAATAATAATAATAATAATAATAATAATAATAATAATAATAATAATAACAACAACACAAATCTTGCTTGAGATTTACATTAAAAGTTTGGCCCTAACTTTGTGAGTTATTCTAAAGGTTTTGCCATCGTGATTGGTAGAGCTTGAGCTGTATCAGCCAATCAGATTTCAGCAGTGATGTCACTTGCGGGGTCATCTTCAGAGTAAAGAGTTAACGGTAGGTTTTGGTCTTTGAAATTAGCCATTTTACCAGTGTTTTAGGGTTGTGTTAAGGTCCGTGTGTATAATGTCGAAAGTATATATTTTTTAATAGTCTGCTAAAGGAAAAAAAAGGTTGAAATGACACTTTAACGAGCTTGTTATTAGCAAGTGCAGAGTGCCTCAGGCTTTCACTAGCTAACCTTCTAGTGCTAGCATCTAATGTCGATAATGCTGCTCAATTTTGGGTAGCGGAGCTTTTACGTTTTATACAACAAAACTGTATTTTAACAGTTTTATTTTTTTTTAATAAATATATATTATAAGCCACTACAAATTAAATAAAAAAGGGTTTCAGTGTTTACAAATAATAACCTTTGCTTTATTCCATTGTAAAAAGTACATTTATCCAACGTGGGATCTATAGAGTTATTTTAGCCCCCATACAGTTACTGTAGCTTAGCTTTTGATGAACATTTTGTAGGTACATGAAATATGTACCTACAAAAAACTTGATAAAAACAATTTGTGGGAATATGTGAACAAAATTATTTAAACATGTAATAAATAAGCTCCTATAAATTACCAAAATGTTGTAGGTTAAGGCCAGCTGCAGCTGTATTAATAAAAACTATTGTCCACCTTGTTTTTAATACAAAGGTTTCAGAATAAAGTAAAAAAAAATAGACCTCTAAAATAATGTCTGATTGTGATTAAAATAGTTCAAACAAAGACCAAATTACTCCTGCATCGCATTGGGCCTTGTGTTATGGAAATTTGATTGTTAGTCTTTGGACATCATGTTTTTGCTTTGTAGTTTTTTTCTCTGAATGACTTTTTACTGTCCTTTACAAAGGCATGTCCATCTGCGATGACACCCTCCTGTGTAATTTCCCAAAGTGTCGCGCTAAGCTGAGCGCCTTCGCTTGGGTCACAGCGTGCTCACATGTTTTCTGTGATCAGCACGGATCTGAGAAGTTCAGCTGTTCTCCAGTCATCTGCCCTGCATGCTCGTCTGCACTGTCTGGAAAGCTGGACATTGTGAGGATGGAGCTGTCGCCCTCTGAGGAGTATAAAGCGATGGTGCTGACAGGTCTGCGACCAGACATAGTGCTGGACATCAGTTCCCGTGCTCTGGCCTTCTGGAGCTATCAGGTCAAGTATCTCCATGTGAACAATCAATACAAAAGCAGACAAGTGTGAGAGAAGCTCCAACATCATCCCAGAAAAATCTAATTTTTTATTCGTGAAGTAGCATTAGCATATGTAAATGATGCCATGCCCATCTGATCAAAACAAGTTACAGAATGTAAGTTGTCTCTTTTTATCTACGTTTGAAACCAGGATAATTTTCTAGCTGTGATTCCTCCCCTTTTTTAATTATTTTTTTAACTCATGCTAAATGCTAAATTTGAGATTCTGTTTATTTAAAGAATTAAAATGATGAAAAAGGTGAGTTGGTAAACAATCAGCTGATTCCGAGGTGCTCAGCTGGCCGTGTACTTCCTCGTATATAAACCCTGATGGTCCGTTTATGTCAGTCAGATCTTGTGTAGCGTTTAAGTGTTGGTGTGTGCAGGTGCATCAAGAGCGTATCTATCAAGAGTACAGTCTGTCGCGGGCCGAATCACAGCTGAAGCAGATGGAGAAGGTGCTTACTCAGCAGAACCAGAGCAGAGAACTGGAGCTTACCGCCTTGAAAGGAGAAATCGCCTCCCTGAAGAAAGTAAATGACACAACTCTCATCACCACACAAGACATTAATACACTAAACTTGTAACCTGGTGTAAAATAGCTTCAAAGGCTAAGATGTAAAATTACAAGGAGCACGTGGTCGTCTTAACTGTGAATCTTGAAGACATACATAGAGTAAAACTAGATTTCTCTGTATCCTGATGGCCAGATGATGGACGAGTACAAGAGGAATTACAGCGAGGTGTCTGAGAAGCTGATGCAGAGAAACCGGCAGTACCAGAAACTACAGGGGCTGTACGACTCTCTGAGGATGCGTAGCATGGTGGTGGGTGCTGGAGAAAGACATACAGAACAACAAATGGGACATCAAGACTACAACGCTGATAATAATGCCGGTAATGTCAGCACATTGTTGTTCATTTGTAGTTTTTAAAGGTGCATTGTTGGACAGAGATGAAGGCTTGGCAACTAGTTTGTGACAATGGACACAGACATGACTAGTTATTTTCACTTTTAAAGGTCAAACCATAATATTGTTTTCAAATATGAACAGCAGCATTTATGCTTAATCACAAATGACAGAATTTTAGCCCCCCTATCAGTATTAACCAAGGGCAGGGAATTTTTAACACAGCTTTTCCAACCATGCTAGTTTTATTAAGTCTCGCACACGTGTCCTGAGCTGTCCCAGCCCATTCTTCTTTGGTACATCTCAAAAACCTCTTCAGATTTGCTGGTCTTCTGACATGAACCTTGGTCTTATGCTTTGCGCAGGCAAGTCAGTGACGTTCACTTTGGTTATCTGGGGGTCGTTCTTGACCAGGAGCAAACTATGTTTAGGGTCGTTGTCATGTTGTAAGACAAATCGGCGATACACAATCCAGTTTTGCTGCTGATTGCTTCAGGTTTTCTTTCAGAATCGTCACATGTCCTTTCTTCATGATTCCTACCACATTGATGAGATTCCCAGTTCTGGACGTACTAAAGCGTGCATAAAGCATAATGCTTCCTAAACCGTATTTCATTTCATACGCCTCTCCCTGCTTTCTCCAAACATAAGCAGCATCTCTGTGGCCAAAGAAAGTGCCTCCAGTCTCCATAATTATTCTCCAGGTTGTCCTCACTTCATTCTGTCTTGAAAGTGTCTCTTCTGCAAAAATTCAGTTTTTCTTGGTCTGCAACCTTGCAGTCCGTTCCTGTGCAGGCACTAAACTAAACTAACAAATTCAATTTCCAGACTTAGCAAAGTCATTCCCTTGTGTCTTCAGAGTTGTTCTGAGGTCTTTAGCCACATCTCGTACCAGTTTTCTTTCCAGAGACTTATATTAAACATTTTGTTTCCTATCTCTGCCAGGCTTGCTCTGTGTGGCTCTCTTTGAATTTCTTGATGTGTTTCTCACTCTGGTTCGGAAACACTGCAGTAGCTTTGTATATCCATCTCCAAACCCTTGCTGAAGTGTTAAACTGTGTGTAAATTGGAAGATAACCCTCAGTTTTAACTTGATTTTACAGACTTTGACCATAACAAGTTAAAACACATCATTGCACAGTAGTGGTCTGTGCAATCAAAGGTCAGTTTTTCACGAGGCTAATAATATATGATACAATACATAACTTCTGTTAATAATAATTGTAACTACAGGGGTCCAACAAAGAATGGCCACGCATCATACTGATGTCTTCGGAAATTTATTTCTCTCTCTCTCACTCTTATTGTCTTCAGACACCGTGAAAACTGAAGAAACACAAAGTTTACAACATAAATGTTTTGAGCTTATCAGTCTCTCATATCAGTGTCCATAAACAGTCTTGTGCAAGCAGAACAGAAAAATGCACAATAATGGATATCACAAAATGTCCTCTCATTACCAGTGTAGAACACGTATGCAACATTATACAAACAATATACATGAAACCATATCGTGTGCACCTCTTGGACCACATGCAGAATAACATTAACGCTGAGGCTGTAGATGCATCTGTAGCCATGTATCCATGCTAGCTACACAATGCCATGGTTGTGCTCTCAACCAAACTCTGGTCATGTGACAATTACAAACTTTGCCTCATACAAACCTTACAGCACTTTGCATATTTAACAAACCCATATTTTGTAATCACATATTGTTTTAATTAATGTTACACTTTTATCATCTTATCTTGTAAATAAATGAACTAAATTAAGCATGAATCTATCACAGAAACATGAAATAACCAACTTTATTTTAACTGTCTCAGGGACAGTTACAATAATGATATAATAATATATATAATATATGCCTTTTAAAAGTTTTACCTAACAACATTTACTAATGATGCCTAAATGTTAAAGGCATTATTAGTAAATGTTGTTAGGTAAGAAGCAGTAAGTTTTTGTTGTTGGCTGAGTACACAAACAATGTGAAGATGTCATTATGGCCTCTATTACCTGCACTTAACTAAAGCTGTTTGCTGTTTGGCAGAAAAACTACTAAAGTCCATAGTAAAATATCACTTATGTTCAGAAAACAAAGATAAATAAGGACTCTGCTTTCATAAAATCAGCTTTCACATTGTGCTCACGTTGATGAATGAGAAGAGGAAGGAATCAGGGTAAAAGAATAATGCTTAATGGCAACGAAAGAAGACAGGGCTTTTATCAAAAAGACTTTGTCATCAGGAAAGAACAGCAGGAGTAATGAGCTGAATGTCTATGTAAGGGAATTTTTAGTGAGAATAACAATGAAAGACATCCATCAACCTCCTGTGTGTCACTCAGGGGTGGCTCGGCATGCGACTCCTCAGAGGAGCCCTCCGTTCCTGTCCCTCGGCCCTGAAGGGGACAGTCGATTCTTGTCCGTCCTGGAGGCTGATGGAGGAAAGACCTTCTTCCAGTTCAGCTCCCCTGGCAGGGATAAATGCCGGCCCTTCATCAGGAAGCACTGAGAGCAGCAGTCTGCAGTTATCCATGTTACTCTCCTCTGTTCTGCTGTACTCACTTTAGCAGGAGACATTTGCTCTTATTTTGTGCACTGCTTATTTCCTGTTCAAACCATAAATATGTATTTAACAGTATTAACAAATATGGGATTTCATTTTATATTTTGTTACATGTTATTCCTAAGTAAATAATAAAAATCTCAAGCATATTTTCACAGAGTTATGTCTGACACCTAACACTTATCTGTCGCTTAACAAAACGCTTTCAGGTGCAATCACTTTTTCCTCATTTCTGTATTTAAATATAGGATTATAAAGTAATGAAGAGTTGTAAAGCTTTAAAAGAGAAAGTACAAATGGATCATTTCACATTTCTGTGTCATCAGATTCACATAATGAATATTGATGATTTGCAATAATCATTAAGAAACGGTATAGGTGGTCAGTCGGAGGATTTATTAGAGAAAGAGGCACAACACCACTGGATCCTCAAAGTTTCATAACATCAGAGATGAGGGAGAAGAAAAACTTTAGGGGAAGAGATTTTTAAAACTTTATTTTGGAACAAAGATTTTATGGGATTTTTCAGGTTTATCAGATTCTGCTGGTTTCCACTACAGGCAGCATGACCATTTAAATGTATCTATTAATTTATATAATGCTACAAAAGATTTGCTTCTGGAAACACTTCATGCAGTGCTGTGGAGATTTAATAGCAATAATCTGAAGTAATCATTTCCTGTATGACTTTATCAGCCTTTCCTGTTGTAGTAGAGGAATTTTGGCCCACTCTTCTTTATAGCCATGCTTCAGTTCATTGAGGTCTGGACTTTGACTGGGTCACTGCATAATCGTGTAGTCCTGTAGAAAACCGTCATTTTCACATCACTGTATGCATCCTGTTATACAAAGCAGGAAGCCTTAAACCTGAGCTGTGATCAGTTCTTTATTGGGATCCAAGATGTGATGTGAATGAGTTTTTCACTGCAAAACCAAAGCAGTGCAAGCCAGGCCATAAAAACTGGTTTGTGGAGACATGAGTTACAGTGGATAGACAGCATGCTGAAAGTTGATCATCAGGCCATGTCACAACTTTAAATAAAAAAAAAAAAAGGTTAAAAATCATAATGACAGCTGAATTTAATTCAGTTGCATCAGTTTCACCAAGGGCTTTGTTACATTACTACTTTTAACAAAAAAAACAAAAAAAGTACTACTTATGGGACAACTCAAAATGTCTTTTGTTTTTTTGAGAACTTTAGTTTTAAACATACAAGAAAAAAAAAAATACACTTAAAACATGATACATATTTTTTCTCTCTCCTTTTTTTTTTGAGGTCACAACTGTCACGTCACAGGTTCTTTCCTTTACAGATAACCCACGTTCGGCCCCACACCCACAAAGTATAAAAAAGGTTTATAAATACAAAGAAATGTAACACGGTGACCTATTTACAGATCTGCATAAAACTGCTACAAATACTTCAAAATCCAGCAAAGAGAGAAAACGAGAAAGCTTGGTCCTTGGGCTTTCAGTCTGCTTCACTCGCTCTGAGGCTTGTAGCTGACGGAGGCAGCGATCTGACTTTTAACGTTTTGCTTCTTGCCGTTGACGATGAGCAGCAGAGGAGAGTCCACTCGTATACTTCTAAAATCAAGTGACTGGTAGAGAGGACAGGAGAAGGTCACATACTCAGTCAGACGTTATTGCGTTGATTGTAAACAGCATTCATTAATGCAACACTTACCTTATCTTTATGGGTTATACTGTGTCGTTTAACTTGAGGTTCAGGAATGACTACAGAATCTCCTATTAGGACGCCCCAGCTATCTGCTGTGTTGTAAACCATCACCACTATACAAGTCTCCTCACTGTCCACCATGCCAAACGTACTGGAGGAAAAATAAAAAAGAAGATTGTAAGATTTTACATTGCTTCACTTTTACAGCCAGAGTCGAGCTGCACGTGCATTAAAGGACCATTACTGTTAAATAAGATTCTCTTACAAGGCCATGCGACCCTCAGAGGCCAGGCTGAACACCACCTTCCCCAGAGCGGCCACCCCAGCATTGTGGCCATGTGTCAGGGAGGAAAGTGTCCGGGGTTCCAGGCTGCCCACACGGCCTGCCGGGGAGCGAAACTGAGGAGACGAGCAGGGGCCCAAAGCAGACGTGTTGAGGTTCGACAGCATCGTCCGTAACCGGCGGGCTTTCACCTTCCCCTGAACACACAAGGCAGACTGAAGCTTAAGGGAAAAACTAGAGTCAAATGTGCTCTTTGCTGCCATCATGTGGTAAAAAAAACAACTTGTATGTCACTCTGATAAGCATTTATAACAGTGGAAGCAAACAGGCTCAAAGGTCATGTGCTACTCATACACATAACTACGACTAACAATAAAGACAACGTGTGTAATAAAAAGATGACATTAAAGAAATTATGTGATCTTAAAATACTTGAATTACGTTTAACCACTTCAGTTAACTCTACTCTTCTTTTCTTTTTTTAAATCCATACTTGACTCAATGACATGATTTCTGTAGCCATTATTTTGTGTCAGGAGTCGAGAGCTACATCATTTAGATTACCCTTTTACTCTAGACAGATATCACTTTGCTGCCACTGATTACATGTCAATCATTAACATTTTGGAGTATTACCAGGTATTTTACAGCATCAGTGTGTCAGAGCCTACTTAGTCATTGTTGATAATATTAAATCTGGTGGTGGCTGATAAACCACCTTGGAGACTCTTAGCACGACCAAATCACAGCATGATTTTCACCGACTTCTTTTCTGTACGTTTTTGTAACAGGACATAAACAGTATGCCGGTACTTTTGTAAAGAGTCTCCTACCTTGTTCTGTAGGAGTTCGGTCACTTTCTCCAAATATTCCAGCAGCTGCTTCTCTCTCTCTGGTGGCTCCTTCCAGCCGGGGTCGAGCTCGGCGGCTCGACTGTAGCCGGCGAGCGCAGACCCGTACATCTCCTCGTACTGGAACAGTGTGGATCTGTTGAAATGCAGCTCTGGGTAACAAGAGGCAGCTCGATCCACCGTCTCCTACACAGGAGGAAAACGGGAATAAAATACAGATGCGCATGTTGATTATTTATTTACGGTATTCATTTTATTATTTATCGGTATTCCCTCTGGTGTGTATCCGTTTAAGTCTGTACGCACAGATTGTGTGTAGGCACTTAGAGCTTGTTGAGATAGCTGTGGATTCTGTCCACAAGTGAAAAACAGCGACACGTAGGCATTTCCCAGGATATCTGTAAAAACAAAGGCAGAACGACATGAATTAATGCCCCAACAGTCTTTAGCATCTCTAACAAAGAGCACCGTCTGTCTTCACTCTACTCACACCAGGACGTCCCATCCTTCACGTCCAGCTGCACGGCCTGCCGGGCCATGTCCACGCTTTCCAGCACCTGCTTGCCGTGAGCGTCGTTGTCAGCCGCGGGCAGCTGCCTCAGCACCATGGACAAGTTACGAAGAGACACTTTGTTCTTGCTCTACAGAGGTGGAAAACAAAACATACTAACATGAATGAATCCTAACAGAAAGGATAGGAGAGGTTATCTGGATTAATGCTCAGAAATAGCTTTTCAATTCACCAGGTGTTGTTGCAGAACACTTTGGTGGAAGTACTGACAGGGATTGGAAAAGCAGGCATATTTCTCCCACATTGGTTGTCTGTTATATCCAGAATTGAATTAAAAATCCTGCTCCTCACAAACAAAGTCTTGAATAATCAGGCTCTCGTCTTAAAGACCTCATAGTACCGCATCGCCCCGTTAGAGCTCTTTGCTCACAGACTGCTGGCTTACTTGTTGTTTATTAGCTTATAGTTAAGCATAGCTGAATCAGGTGACCCTGAACAATCCCTTAGTTATGCTGAAATAAGCTTAGGCTTAAACTTCCCATGATTCACTGAGCATTTCTTCTTCAATCCCTGCTTTTCACTCACAATGTGCTTATCCACCACTATTGTATCAGTCAGTTTTCATTATTAATCTCTGGCTCTCTTCCACTGTGTCACTTTTATCCAGTTTCCCTCCCCTCATCCCCCACAGGTCACTGCAGATGGCTGCTCCTGCCTCAGTCTGGACCTGCCAGGGGTTTCTTCCTGTTAAAAGGGAGTTTTTTCTTCCCACTGTCACCAAGTGCTTGCTCAAAGGGGGAGCGTCTGACTGGGAGTTTTCTCTGTATTATTGCAGGGTCTTTAATATAAAGCGCCTTGAGTGATTTGGCGCTATATAAATAAAACTGAACTGAACGACAGTTTGGCATTTTAAAAATGTGGTAGATTTGTTTTTGACAATATGGCTACATGTTTTTAGCAAACAGCTTTATGTTTTTATACAGTATTAAACAGAACACAAAAGTAAGTTATTGAATATTTTCTTTGCTTACTAAAGTATATAAAGGTCTTTTTTTGTATTACTGATTCTTGTGGTGTGAATGAACGAGTCTGAAACCTTTCCAGCTTTACCAAAGTCAACAACTACCCATCACACACGTCCAAAGAGCTGAACAGATTGTTCAGATAACTAACTATGGTTGCGATTAAAGCGTCAGACCAACAACTATGGAGATAATGAGCTAATATAATATAATAATCTAACAGATCTGTCTGCCTGAGCAGAGATCAGCTGAACACAAACCAATTTGAAGTGGATTTTGTGTTTCCTGGTTTGGGTTCAATGATTAGAAATGTGGAGATTGTTTCACCAGTAACTGGAAACTTGGGTCACATCACATAAACTGAAAATGTATTAATATGTGTATAATAATCATTCATAATAAAGTTTGAATTACAAGAGATTCCCGGAATAAATTGTGGGGGGAAAAAAAAAATGGAGTAACCTGGTAAAAGCAGGAGTGTTTGCAGGTATGGAATGTGAGAAGACAATAAACCAAAGAGGACAAACCTTCCTTTCTCCATCATTACCTGCTGTAAGGCACCAGTGAAGCAGTTTTTGGCACCGATCAGGTCTCCTTTTTTCCAGTACTGCTCCCCTAACGTGTTCCAGCCCTCCACCAGGCCAGGCTGCAGCTTCACCGCGCGGGACAGACACTCCTCTGCTGCAGCACTGAAGTCTGGAGCCACGTTCAGACATCGTCCCTTTTGCAGCAAGAACTCGGCTTTGTGTTTAAAGGCGTCTGTTGGAAGTTGTAAACGGAGCAGTCGTGAATGAAAGCCTGCAAATTAACTCACTTTTTTTTTTTTTTTTTTTTTTAATTTAAAGAGACCCTTACCTTCTTTTTCCTCCAGCTTCTTCAGCGTTTGTGCCATCTCTTCTGCTACGTCGCTGTGTTTCCGTCCTGCATCCTCCACACTGTGAGTCTCAAAATAACAATCTCTGAACTTATACAGCTCATCCACCAGCTCCTGTCGGGAGAGAAGACAAGAAACAGACATAAAAATAGATCAAAAAGACATTTCTCTTAACCACATCTGCCTGTAGTACAACACTGAGACACAACAACACATCAACAAATACTGCTGAGGAGTGAAACTACCCGAGTAACTAATAATTTAACTAGTACTAACAATTTATACTACACTTGCGAATGTTCTGTGCAAAAGTCTGTAGCCACTGCAGATTTCTTTACACCATGTTAGAAAACAGGTGTACAGCGATTTATTAAAATTAATAAACATATATGGAAATACAGTATACAAAGGCAAAAAAAAGGAGTCTTTGGGAATAGTTCTTGTGGCTTCTTTAATGACATTCAAAGCTCTTCTTTGGATGCTGGCTGCCTTTTGTTCTGTTCTCTGTGAAGATGATCCTAAACCCCTGAAGAAAAACAATGGAGCCACTGCCCATCAGACTTTTTCCACATGGATCAAAATATGACGTTATTATCTGTGTTTAGAATTTCACTAATTTTGATAAGATCTTCAACATCACTGGCTCTCATCAGTACATACTAACAATGATTTGGACCAAAAAACACTGTCATATGTAAAATTTGGGTTCATCACTCCATCAGACCTGTTGCCACTGATTTTCAGTCCAGTTGTTGCGTATGTGGGCATACCACATTTTTCCTATTTCTTAAGTACATGACTTTCAGTTACTGTTCCATCTACTATAGTTATTTTTTTTAAGCCTGTCTTTTCTTGTTTTGTCCACCACTTGTTCAGTTTCCTTATTTTTCTTAAGGACACACTGCACACCATGCATGAGATATAGCATAGTTTTACGCTAATACCTCTTTGGGAATCGCCCATTTGTGCAAAAATACCGTTTTCTGTCTGTCAAGCTGTTATCTTTCGCGTTTTCCATAGATACGACTAAAGAAGTTGGAAGAAATTATGCATTTTTGTGACAAGCTGCTGATAAAAAAAAGTCCCTAAAGATACAATTAAAAATTGGTTCTTTGTCAACATGTTTGTTATGTGTAGACATGACAGCATTTTCAGGCTTGGATGATTCACATTTCACTTTGGAGTCATTTAAACAAACAAACAAACAACAGCATTCCTATGAAAATGGTCAGGTATAAGATCTGGACTGGAAAGGGGTGAAAAAGGAGCCAATATCAAAAGACCTCCATAAAACCTGGAAAACTATTGCTCAAGACCACTGAAAATATTAGTACAAGACTTTTGTGCGGTATTGTGTTACTGCATGTTCACTGTTAGTTTTTTCTCGTTTTCTAAGTTAACCATACTTCGCTCCTAAGTGAACGTCTGCCACACAGTACTCCCAGAGTGAAATATTGGTATTGAAAGAGTTAGTTTTTGTAACATTATAAGGCACGAACCATCGAAGGGCCTGCAGAGAACAAATCAGTACAGCTGCACTCCTCATCCTTGGTGCACTAAACCAGAGGCACCCTGACAATGTGGTGACTCAGCAAGAAGCGTACAGATCAAAGCAAAGCGCGAATATCAGCCCGTTATCTGGTGGTTTAAAGCTGTGGTGTGAAACATCTGTGGCCAATCTAGCTACAGAAGGGTAAGTGTGGCACTCCTGCACCTGACATAGCAGAAAACCTTAAAGCTACTACAAAAAAAAAATCTGTTCTTCGGCGTGACAGCTGCAGCCAGCTGTTGTTTCTGGAGACTCCAAGGAAGCAACACATGACACCGTCCTCACGGGAAGCTAGCCGGGCACAAAGGCTGGAGACAGTCGGAGCATTTGAATAAATGTGTGATTCCGCTGAGAAGAGTTACCTTCATAATCTGCAGCTCGTCTTTGTTTTCCACAGCCTCACCACTCTTCTCCTCTTCCGCCATCTTTGCGTTAGACCATGGAACAGCAGCAAAATCTGACAGCGAGCTGGAACAAAATGCGCCAAGTTACTTAATAACTATTAGATATTAGTCTATACGGTATGTCTGCTGCCACAGAAAGGTAATTTCTTTAAGGAAGCATCGCGAGTGTAGTCTGTTTCAGCACAGAGGAAACGGGCTTTTAATTTCGGCGACGCCGGAAATTGAAGTAGTCCGTACTGAAAACGAATCCGCCTGGAAAATTAACAGATGAAGTTTAACGTGATGACTGATTTAGTTACCAACATGCCACTTTCGTAGACTGAGATATATATGTATTATATTTTACATCATATACTCTCAATCCTAAAACCACGACAAATCACTACGAAAGCGGAACGTTTAATCCTAATCAACCCGTGTGCTACCCGACACACGTTTTCGTGTTGCACCGTACCCGCTTCCCTCCAAGGGTGGACTGGATTCAACTTTTGTTTAGTTTCCCGGACACTCGGTGCTCGGTGAGGCCAGTATTGGTGTTTTTCCTGCAGCTGAGTCCAGCTCGTCATGTCGGACACATGGAGCAACATCCAGGCGCACAAGAAGCAGCTGGACTCTCTGCGGGAGAGGCTGCAGCGACGGCGGAAAGACCCGGCTCAGCTGTCCGCCGGTAGGTTCAGGCCGGGCAGTGCCCAGCTAACGCTGGTATTGATACCAAAGGGGTAGTTCCCCCCATATATTTAACTTTACGTATCTTAACTCAGGTCTGCAGCGCTTTGCAGCCATCTAGACTGTGTAAGCTGCCGTATTATGGCGATATCGTTTTCCTCTTGTGCTCTAAGCGCCAAATTACAATTAGAAAAGCTTACTAGAAACAAGGAAAGAAGGGGGGGGGGGTCATCCGCTAACCTTTCTGTGAGTGGTTTAATTAAAGAACGTAATATAGTTGTTACTATGTCTAAACTACACCTTTCAACCATATCACTGGTGTCACTGACGGTGTGGCAAGATGTAAATAAACATCAGTGGGTCCCCTCTCAGCTGAGATCAAAGCCTCTCCATCCTGTCTGCACTCTTGTCTCTTGTCTTTTGCTTTGATGGTGTATTAAGTTAATTGGGGGTTTTAAATCGGATTCGAAGCGCTTAACGTTTATAGGATAAAATGATTGTGTTTAGATGTGATTGAAGTGCTCGGTAAATCTTGAAAAGCACAGAAATGCGCTCCAGTCCATTCATTTAGTAGCTGATTTAATTGAGCGAATTTGCCTTCGCTGGCAAAAGGGGACCTGAGTTTTATCAAATGAAGGTGGGGTTTTAAACTAACAAAATACTGTGTTCATTCTTGCTAAATGTGATGCAACAAAGACATTACTATCTATATTATTGATCAGTCAGGTATTTTGTTACAGATAACCAGTAAATTTAGCTCAGAGTATCCAGCAGTTGTAGTAATTTGCTATAAAGCTGCCTAAGCTCATTTGCTTTGATGCCATGCTGGGGATGTAGCAGTGTATATCAACAGTACAAGCGCTGGACATTTACCGATGGCAGTAATTGATATAAGCTGAAAAACTTTAAAGCAGTTCTGCTGTTTCACTATGAAGATTTCCCTAATTCCTCAAAACAAAAAGGAGAAACAAACAACAACAAAGGATGATTCTTGTACCATTAAATTAAACAACTATTTTTATAATTACTTAACCTTTTTATCTGAAAGTTATGAAACGTTTCAGGAATTTAAAATGGGAAATATTGACAATTTTCTCTGAACTTGGTGCTTCATCTTTTGTTGTCCCCTCAGATGGTGGTGGCAGCACAGACGGCACCACAGTCAGGAGTGACAGCCCTGCCCCAGCAGTTCCATCCACCTCGCAGGAGGAAACAGAAAAACCACCAGACCCTGAACTGGAGAAGAGGCTGCTGGGATATCTGTCTGATCTGAGTCTCACACTGCCAACAGACTCCCTTTCCATCACAAATGAACTCAACAGTGTGAGTTTTTGTCTCCGGTGCTCGTGTTATCCTTGAACTCAGTGATGTGGGTTTATTTTTGACATCTCTGTTTTGTTTGCTTCTCGTCACAGTCAGAAACAGCCGTTAGCCACGGCTGCATCCAGAGCCTGCTGCTTAAATTCTCTGCTCAGGAGCTCATCGAGGTCCGAGAGCCCACCTCGGCTCCTTCTTCTTCTACAACTTCCTCCTCCACGTCAACCCCCACGGTGGTCATAGCTGTGGACCACACAAAACTTTGGGCTATGATTGGATCTGTAGCTGGAGCCCAGAGAACTGGAGTCAAGAGAAAAGCAGAAGACCAAATGCACAGCAAAAGGGCTGCAGGCTACTCGCCCTCGCTTCAGAGCTCTGCTTCTCCTCCTCACTCGTCAACCACATCGCTGACGCCGGCCTCCTCCTCAGAGCCGGGGCCTTCGGCGTCAGGGAGCGGGACGGAGAAGAAGGGCAGGAGCAGTAAAAGCCAGTCGTCTCATTTGGACATGGAGATCGAAAGCCTCCTGAACCAACAGTCCACCAAGGAGCAGCAGAGCAAGAAGGTAACAGAGAGTTTTTGTTGTTGTTGTTGCTGTTTTTGTTTCTTTTGTAACTGATTAAAAATCGGCGTTTCGTTACTGCTGCAGTTATCACGTGACTCTCTTTCGCATCCAGTTAAGCCGAGAGATTCTGGAGCTGCTGAACGCCAGCACAGCCAAGGAGCAGTCCATCGTGGAAAAGTTCAGATCCCGCGGCCGAGCTCAGGTCCAAGAGTTCTGCGATCACGGGACCAAAGAAGAATGTGTTCGCGCTGGAGACACGCCTCAGCCATGCACCAAGTTACACTTTCGGTCTGTATTTGCTTCACAAAGTCTGACACTGTTACAGACAAGTAACTGTAACTAACAAGACTGAAAGTTTATTTCCATGACGGTCCTGGATTGTCCAAATCACGAGAATACAGGCTGCTGTGCTACAGCTAGAAAAGAGCGTATCATAAATATGGGAAATTCTAGCTGACCTGCTAAGTACATTTACCCATTAATTGCTTTGTTTTTCAAGTATAGCAAACATCCAAAAGTGTTTGAGTAATACTCTCTTTGGCCTCCAGGTGGCACTGTGATTATGCTAAATACTGTTTGATATAAATATGAGACACACCACGTTTTGAGAGTGTCCTGCTCATACATGTGTCTAATGTGCTGCACCAGAAGTTTTATTTTGCATCATTTTAAGTTTTCTAATGCATAAAGTTTGGAAAACTGTCCTACATAAAAAAGGGATTCTCGGCCCACTATTATGTTCATGTGAGCATTTAACAGCTTAAACCTTGCATTAACCAGCCATGCACCAAGTTACACTTTCGGTCTGTATTTGCGTCACAATTTTTTTTAACTTTGTGATGTTAACTTTATGTTTTGTCATGCAGTCGCATCATCAACAAGCACACAGACGAGAGCCTCGGCGACTGCTCCTTCCTCAACACCTGTTTCCACATGGACACCTGTAAGTACGTCCACTATGAGATCGACAGCCCCCCGGAGACCGAGGGGAACCTGCTGGGGCCCCAGGCGGGGACCACAGAGCTTGGTCTCCACGCAGGGGACGCCGACAGCAATGTGGGCAAACTCTTCCCTTCACAGGTGAGGAGGAGGATGGGGATGATTTAAAAGAAGCCTATGAGACTGGACGCATTCGTGTGTCATAATGTCTTTTAAAATCGTAAAATAGTGTGATTTATGTGCTTTGGTACTCAGTGGATCTGCTGTGATATCCGCTACCTGGACGTGTCCATCCTGGGTAAGTTCGCCGTAGTGATGGCTGACCCTCCCTGGGACATCCACATGGAGCTGCCCTACGGTACTCTGACCGATGACGAGATGAGAAAACTGAACATCCCCATCCTGCAGGATGACGGCTTCCTCTTCCTCTGGGTCACTGGCAGGTAACTAAAAAGAAGTCCAGAAGTCTGGCTCAGTTAGCAGGACAGCTGACCACTTTATGTCAACATTTAACTCATAGCTGAATGTTTCATTTGATCTACAAATTAACGCCCCTCAGCCTGTTTAAGTTAAACTTCTAGAGAATAATGGCGGCTTTTTTCCTATGAAACGCTTTCCCTTAAGATGAGACTTCACCTAGTTCACTACAATTTAATATAAACGTTTTAAAGTCTAGATTAGATAAATAGATCGATAGATAGATAGAAGCTTGGGCAACAGACAGTCATTGACAGAATGAAAGACTGGGTAAAGAAATGGGGCATGTCGTCATTCAGCAAGGCTCTAAAGAAGTAGACTTTTAGCTGGGAACAAGGTGTTTAAGTGAGCAGTGCACATATGCCCAACATTAACATGTGGCGGTGATGGGGAAAACCTGGTGGCTTAGTTTGCATTGGCTTAGCAAATAAATCTATCGAACAGGGAACTTGCACAATGCTTCTCTGTTCTCGTTAATATGACATCGGCTGCAGGGTGCCAGATCTCTACAGTTTTACATTCACTCGTCATAAATGATGAGAGGCCCGGTCAGTGTTTGCGTACAGCTCTTCACTCAGCTTCAGCACGACAGGAAGCTGGCACTACTTTGTGCTGCTATTCAGGTTAATTATTTACCCAAGAAGGTAACTACATGTCTGACAACTGATATTTCCCCCAATCCTAAACATTATTCTTAGAAATGGTATTCAGACTCAACGTTCTCTTCCTGTTTCAGGGCCATGGAGCTGGGCAGAGAGTGCCTCAGCCTTTGGGGGTAAGTTTTGCCTTTCTGTCACCATCGTGTCATATTTTTCCCCTTATTTTTTAATCATTTTGCCTTTATCCTCCTCTCTCAGCTATGAGCGTGTGGATGAAATCATTTGGGTGAAAACCAACCAGCTCCAGAGAATCATCCGCACCGGCAGGACGGGTCATTGGCTGAACCACGGGAAGGAGCACTGCCTGGTAGGTTTGAACCAATCTCAGTGTTATACTGTGAGGACGGTCCCGTTGGGGTTCGGGCTCGAGGAATTTAACCTTCAGCAACTTTTTGCTTTTGTCGTTCTTAACCGTCCAGTAGCTGAAATAGCTGAACCTGTGTTGTCTCATTCTAAACGTGTTTGTCTTCAGGTTGGTGTAAAAGGAAACCCGCAGGGGTTCAACAGGGGTTTGGACTGTGATGTCATCGTGGCAGAGGTAAACAGCTGTAAATCCTCTGTTATACGTGGTGTCATTACCCATAATTCCTTCAGCCTGAGTCAT